CTCACATATTCTCACTCTTCTCTCTGGCTGTCGTCATGCAGTTTTCTTCCCCTTCTTAACTCTGTTACCCCAGAGGCGTAACCACCATTGCTGATGGGCTCGGCCTTGGCCGGCGGTGGGTCTGTCTTGGAGCCGGCTGGCACCGGCTCTGTCGGACACAGGGGAAACTTCTAGCAGCTTCTCACATGAAGCCACCCCAGAAGCACCACCCACCACCAAAACATTGCCCAATACAAAATAAATTTAAACCAAGATACAATAATCTAACACAACTTCGGAAAGGAATAAAACCAGTTATTTACATTCTCTATTAAAAATACATAATCTTAGCATCGTCTACATTTTGCCGATGGGTGGATGGGCTCTGTATCCTTGCGTGTATAGTGTTGCTGTATGTTGTCTTCTATTTGAGGATGAACAGATTGAGCTGTGTGAGTGTCTTGTTAGGCTCATGTTTCCATACGCCACTTCATGGCTAGTCAGAGCTTTTTCCAATTTTTAATAGTCGTCTTCAAATGTAGATCCCAGGACCAGATGCAGGCTGAGTAGTAGTTCCCCGTGTGCAAACAGACCCCAATGTGGGCTGACCCTCTGCGTATCATCAAGGATCCTGTTATTCTCCAGCAACAAAATTTCACTGCAGTTCATAGTCAGTCAGTTGGTTAGTTGGATGCGCAGGACCTTTTTGGGATGGCTGCTTCTCGGGGCTGTCCCCTGATACTGACAATTTGTCTGTGTTCATTGATCGGAGAGATTTTTGCTATAGCCAGTTATAAACCAGAGAGCCAGCTGGGTCTTATTTTCCTCAGCAGTCCATTTTGCTCTTAGTCAATGACCTGTACTCTTCATTATCTACCACTTTCCTGATCCCTGTGTCCTCTGCTTGTTCCATCTGTAATGAATTCCTCTTCATCCTGTTCATTGATGTAAATGGTTAGGATGGGGCCAGGAGAAATTCCCTGTGGGACTTAACCAGAAACCTGCAAGCTTGGTATTGATTTCCCATTTAGCCTTATTTTAAGACCAATAAGCAAGCTTTTAATCAGTATTATTATTATTGATTTTTGTATTTTTTTAGCTCTTAATTAAAATGTTATACGTTAAGAAGTCTACTGCATCAGTGAAAATTAAAGTCTTTTTAAAAGGAGATTATTTGACAACACTTATTTTCTGCAGACCCATAGCAATGGATACTTGTTTTATCACCTTCCATTATTTTTTAGAGGAGTTGGTAATTTAGGATCTCAATTATATCTTGGCTAGGACCTGTGCAGAAGTGGCTAGCCCATCATTACACAGCTCAACTGCTTATTCTAAAAAGATTTAAATTCCCTTACTGTTTCCTTGAGTCCCTGGGAACATCACTGTTTTAAGACCTGAAAATCAAAATTAATGGTCTGTGGAGCCCTGTGGCTACCTTTTAAAACTGCGTGGGGTGGTTGTTATCCAGCTCTGTGATTTACTTGACTGCCTGCCACTATTTGAGTGGAAGTATTTCATCATCTGAGTACGTGGCTGTGACTTTCGGTCTAATACTGAGTAGAAGAGAAGAAAAATACTCAATAATATTCTGTCGCTGGCAGTTTTACCAGCTCCATATCCTCCCACCCACTGCCATCTGTCTAGGACTCCAACTCTCTTGTCCTCCCCATCTGGAAAGTGGGATTCTTCCTCCGCAGGGCATGGCAGAATGAAAGTTTGGAGAGGATTCAGGGGGCACCTTGGATAGAAAGTGTAGCTGAAGTGGCACCTACTTTTCTTAGACACAGCAGAAGCCTCCAACAGTCTTTTGTGTTTCACTCCTGCAGTTTCCTGGCAGATCTGATGGACAACTCAGAGCTAATTCGAAATGTGACTCTGTGTGGGCACCTTCACCACGGCAAGGTAGTGTGAATACCCAACATATATCGGGTAGTAGTAATGATCTGTTTGTTGCTTACTTCTACCATTGCTCTTGATCCCTCGATCTCCGCAGCAGCAGTCTCTTTCTGCTCCTCTTGCCAATGCAGTTATTTGTAGGTTTTCTTTCAGCCACGTGCAAATAATAATGTGCCAAACTTTCTCTGTACTGCTACCAGAGGGATGGGATTGCACTTATATTTATCTGCCAGATCACAGTCACCTTCTTTCTCTTGTGGTCTGATATTTTTCAGACGTGTTTTGTTGACTGCCTGATAGAACAGACACACCCAGAAATCCGGAAGCGCTATGACCAGGATGTAAGTGAGTTCTTGGTGTATTCCTGCCTGGAGGAACATGGGTTGGCTATTTCACTCAGAAGGAGCATGACTGTACGTGGGGAAAATGTGGTTTAGTGATTAGAAAGTAGGGTTAGAAAGCCAGAGCTCAGTCCTAATTTTGTCTCTGTCACTTACTTGAAACCTTAACCATGTGTAAAGCGTTATTGTGTCCTGCTTCAAACTTAGTATTTGATACCAAAATGTGATATTCTGACTTCTGTTTTGTCTTTGCAGCTTTGCTACACTGATATATTGTTCACAGAGCAAGAGGTGAGTCTTGTAGAATAGGCAGTGATTTTTATCCAGTTGTCTCATGCTTTACTCACAGTTACTTACTGTAGGCAGTTTCCTCTTCCATTTTAACAGCTTTTTGTACCTGTTGATTTTTTTTTTTTTTTAATCAATAAAATGATTGCTCCTCTTGTTTGCCTCAGTAAGATCCCTGGTCCAACTTTCTTCCATTTCCTGCAATCCTAATCTCCATGTATGATTTTATTTGTCTGAGATGATAACCTGTGTAATGATGAAAATCTATACCAGAGTTATTCCAGCATATGAGTAACTCCTATATTCTTGGAGGGCAAGAGA